GAGCAATAATGAACGCTATCATGAGTCTGTTCTCTATGAGATGTGCCCTTTAATCTCACAGTCATAACACTTCTTCTGCAGCTTTAAGAGCTTTTTTAAGAGCAACACAAAAATGGAAGCAGACTACATGCTGGCTGAAATGTTTGTAGATGAGGTGTTGCAAGAATCTTATCACATTATCTTTATTTTCTTTAACTTATCACCTCAACTTATTTAAGTATTCCCAAGTGTGCACGTGTAAAAAAAAAAAAATTAAAACATAATGACATTGCATAGCATTTTGGAACAGGCAACACAACTCTTTATATTAGCTTTTCGGGTATAAGTGACACTTACTTTTAGCTCGAACATTTAAGTAAAAATTGAGGTGCATATGAGTTTCTCCAGTTAAAGTCTAAAATGTATTCACTGCTTTGGATATATAAATGTATAGAGGATTTACAAGCAAACAATAGTCCCAAACAGATGTCTAAATAAAAAAAGCATTAAAAAGTTTCTTTCCTGTAGTCGTGTTGTATGATTTGCTTTTGAAATGAAATAAAGTTTTTGTTTGAGCTAAAAAAAATTGAAGATATTTCTGCTTTATTTTTCTCTTACCCACACACCTCTTATTGTGCACCCATATGAATGGTGCTCTGATTAAATGTGTGTTTTTACAATGAATATTTTAATATATTTTAATTGTTAAAGTATATACTACATAAACTTGCTGTTATCAACTAATTACACAAAGCATGGTTTGAATTACTGCTACCTCTTTGCATTTGAAAAGCATGTATAGTTTAATTTGCTGTATTAACTGATGTCACTAAAATAAAGGAGTCTAACAGGTATAAATCATGGAGGCGTATGTGTAGTTTAGATACAAACTTTGCCCAAAATCATTATGATTGATCTAAAATTAATGGCATGAATAACCTGAGCACAATATGAAATGCACAAAAACAATACTGCATTAAAACTGAAATTACAAGTTATTTTAGAAAAATGTGGTTCTTATCTTTCTATATATCAATTTAAGCTCTTCCTTTTCTATGAATTGTCTTCTCATGCAGTAACCTTGTGGATGTCCTGTGTCTTGACTGAGATGCAATTCAGGTGCAACGTTGAATAAATAGGCAACATTAAAAAACGATATTTGAATTACAATTATTAACACATAGGCCTTATTGTAACCTGGCAGAGTGTTGTATTCATTTCTAACACTTTCAAAAACAAGCTCAATCTCAGACACACCCTTAATGACGGTATTACTCTCCTGTTGTCGCCTGCGCAATGACTGCCATAAATTAATTAATTTAAAAAAATGCAATGCCACATATTTAAAATGTGTAAATCTAATGATTTTAGGTCAAGTATAGACAGAGGCAAAAAAAAAAAAAAACACATACAGACACAAACACAAGATATTTGTTATGAAATGCCCATTAATTTAGAATGTAATGCTCTGCTATTGATGATGAAATGCCGAGCCACATGGAGCACGTGGACGCTGAATTAACTCTTCGCAACTTCAAACATGAAATCGTCATTTTATCATTTATCAGGGGTTAGAAAGTTTAGCTCTCAGAAGTTTGTGCGCTCAAGCAACTTTTCTGCGGGCTTCACTCTGCTCTGATAGAAGCGTCAGCTGCTGACGCACAAAAAGTTTCGCTCACACAAAGTTTCTGTTCAAGATTCACGGACATCTACCGAGCAGGAGCGGGCTCGTTACGAGGAAAGCTGTTCGGTGTGTGTGTGTGTGTGTGTGTGTGTGTGTGTGTGTGTGTGTGTGTGTGTGTGTGTATGTGTGTGTGTGTGTATGGAGTGTGTAGAGACACAGACCTTGGTGTACTTGATCTCCGGGTTGGGAACCGGGGAGGGCATCAGCTGGAGGGATGCCATGAGAGCAGCGGGGTCGCTCTTCACCTCTCCGGGGATCTCGATCTTACTGGAAGTCATCGTGTCTCCTCTCGTCTGCCTGCTGCGCCTCTCTGGAGTTTTTTCAGAAGATGTCTGGTCAGGACTTTGGGTTCCTTCCTGGGTTTATAGCCAGGTGTCAGCCGCGGTTCATTTTCATTGGGCAAAGAAAAAGGGCAGTCCTTTTGAAAATTAAATTCACGCATTTACATAAACGACCTCAGCCATGCGTGTAAAGGAGGAGAAACACATCCACCCCACCCACCTCCATCTGCCGGTACTCTCACTTTTTAACCGCTTCACTCACCGAAGGACCAAGGTTTCGTGTACTAAACCACTTTTACGCACAGAAATATAGAAGTCAGAGTTAAAACACTGCGCCCTGAATCAAAAGAGGTCATAACTAATATTATTATTTATTATCAGAAGCTAATTTGACTGTTTTTGTTAGTTTAAACTGGACATATTTTACCCAAAAGATTTAAAATTAGCCTTGACTATAGTTGTAACAAAAAGCAGAAAACTCCCAAATTTGCAGCAGCACTTTTAAACATCTGATGACCAGCAAAGTTTTCGTGATCTCCATTCAGTTGGAAATGGTCAAATTTCATTTTTGAGTACTTTTAGGGATTTTCAGCCACGCTGGCAGAAAACTTCAGGAAACATAAGTGAACTCAATAAAAGGTATCCACATATAGCCAACATATAGCCTAAAAGCATAGAACTGTTTTCTGGTTACATAAACTCACATTCTTGCCCCATCATCAACCATTTCCTCTGACATAAAGGTGTCAAACTCGTTCCCTGGGCTCACTATCTCCATGTAGTCTTTATTTTTGCCTAACATAACCCCCAACCCCCGCGGTCTAAGATGTTATGTAAATGCAGAGTAAAGGGGAATGCTGCTACTTGCTGGGGTGTTGTTAAGAGAGATTTGTCCTGCAGGTGATAATTCCTTCCAGCGCCTCCTTTAAAAAGTCCCAATAAACATCCTCCAATTAGCAGTGAGGTCCTGTCTCCCAAAACTAAAGGAATTAAGTAAATCCACGCAGGTATTAACACGTCCACAACAACTGCTGTTCTCCTTACACATTCATGAGGTAACAGATTAAAGGAAGTTTATCTGAGATAAGAACTTAAAGTTGGTCAGAAATGTGAGGACATATGAGAAAGATTCATATATAAAGTGATAAAGAATTTGTATGGGCCTATTGCAAACTGTGGTTTATGTTTACATAATAAAGTCCTTTTAATGTATGGATATGTAATCTAAACTCTCCTGACAGGACAAAGGAGTGTGGAGACAGATGCAGGCCCATCATTTGCAAACCCCCGGAGGATGCTGTTTCTCCATCAGCACATCGTCCTTTCTTCACAGCATGGGGACACTCACAGTGTCTGTATCACATCAAAGAAGACGGCTCTAACGGTGACATTGATGAATGCAGTGAAAACATCCTCACCTTTTCACAGTGCGCGGTGAACGGAAGATAAGACAAAACCGACCGGTGTGACAAACCTCAGCCGGTGGCTCAAATGTATTCATGGAGCGACCCCTGTCGGAGGAAATGAGACACAGGGTCACACCGTTTATTTATGTTTAAAACAGTCCTTGGCAAAAACGGGTTAAAGGTGCGGGCTATAAATGAGGGTGATTGAAAAATCAAGAAAAGGATCATGAGAAGGAAAACGTGTGCGTGTGTGTGTTTGTGAAAAAAGGTGAGTAAAAAAAATGTTCGTGATAAAAGGAAAATTGCCAAAGAAGCTCTGAAGTTAGAAAATAATATTTCTCAAGGATTTATGTAATTATATGAGAATGTCGTCGTTTATTTTTGGAGATGTGTAATTGTATCTATTTTGTTGTGAAATAAAAAAACAACATTTTTTTCATTTCCTTTTAAACCCTTACAAAATACGCAGAAATCTTGCATTAAAAAAAAAGTATGTCTTATTTAACCTATAGCAGTATGTAGGCCTATAAGACCCTTAATGTGTGTGATGTAACATAAACATGAGGAAACTGTGAAGACTCACACTCGCTCACGTTCAATCAAAGACATCAAGCTGACTTTTAGAACATTTACATTTGTTAATTATTTTTCGTTTCCTCTGGCATTCAGTAAAACATTTATCTTTAGAACTGTAAAAAGCACACCAGACCTCAAATTCTTTTTGTCTTCATGTGGTCTAACTAGATGTTTATAACAGGAGCACAGTTTCCCCAAGAATTAAAATAATATTTAAAGTTTGGATCTTTAATTAAATGCCTAAATGAGGCAACGCAATGTATATTTTAAAATGAAGCTATAAAATACCTACTACCAGCTAATACTGTATAGTCTACATTTGAGTTATAATCCGAATATAATGTATATTGTTTATGTTGAAAACAGCTCCGGGATTAGACTGTGCATAATTCAAGATATCTAAAGAAGTAGCCTACTCAAAGAAATATGGACCTTGATTTACGTAAAACGTTAAAAGCTTATTATTTTACACTAGTCAGTTTGAAACATCTTTTATCTGAACGGTGTGGCTTCATCTTTTTGTTTTACTAGGCAGTGTTGTCAGTGAGTCGCGCTAATCGATAATTACACAGCTACAATACTTCAATATGAACACATTGTAGTCACTTGTAGTTCTGCTATAGTTAACATAATTACTGCTCATAACTTATTTTATTTTTCAATGACGTCAGTAAGTCTGTGAATCTCATAGCTGTGAGTTTAGTGACCACTAAAATATCCTTTTGGGATAAAATAATTACCTTTCATGTTGTTTTTTTTATTATTGCCAAGTTAGTCCAGTCTGTCCTGATATTCCAATGTAGCCTATTGTGTGTGGACTTGAAATAGTACAACCCCGAAGTCTCGACTAATCTGCAGTCTATATCTCTTTATCAGAGGACACTTTTAAGTGCACACGTGTACAAGCAAACACTTCTACTTTGAGCAGCCGCTGAGTGTAGATGCTACAATGTGCAGCCTGTATCAGTAATAAAAAGAAGACCCCTTGTGGTGATTAAGGGAAATAAACGCTGAAAGCTTAACGTGCTGTCGGCCTGCAGAGCGCTGCACGGTCCGAGTGCACTGAGTGGGAGGCGGCAACCTAAACCGACAATCACACACACATACACACATACACACTCCCTCTTAGTTGTTAGCTGTTTGTTCAGACCGTAGGAAGACATCAAGGAGCCGCAAAGAAAAAAAAAAAAACATGGAAAATGAGAAGAAGAGGAAGCTGAAGGAGAGATTTGGCCTGAGGCGGGACATCTTAAAGGAGTTCCTGGCGGAATTTCTGGGAATATTCGTCCTGATAGTGAGTACCTCCCTCTGCACCTGTCACACAGCTTAAACAGCCGCTTTAAAGCTTTGAACCGGCATGCTAATAAGGTGTCAAACTGGGTCTCTGGGGACTCAGTGTGACTGCTGTCTCTCTCATGTCTCTATTAGCAGATAATATATTCTGGGAATAACAGATTCTGCCTTTGATGTGCTGTGCTGTAATTTGCTCCTGACAATCACAACAAGATGTTGCTGATGTGGGAATGCTGTTCTCCTACAAAACTTCCCCAGAAGGGCTTTGTAACAGAATTTGAACCATTATCACCATAATAATGTATGGTGATAATGGTTCAAATTCTCTGTAGCTTTCTCTGAATTATGATGTTGTGATGAATGTTGTGAAAATGAATGAGAGAACATTAACACTTAACATTAGAGAGAAGTATCTGTGTATTATTATTGGTAACATTTGTCTGTTATTTAAGTTGCATGTGTTTACAGCCTGGACTGAGCTCCACCTGTCCCAATCTCTGTCTCCACTTTAAAGCAGCTTCCACAGCAGCCCTCTTTGTTTTTGGATGACTGCTCTTCTCCAACACTTTTTTGGTCTGAATTACTTCTGCCTTTTAACTAATAAGTGGGGTATTCATTATTTTCCAAGCTCTGAGTTGGACAAATTGTCTGTGGCAGTCGCAGGCTGTTGGTGGACAAGAGGGCTAGTGTTAATGGCGGGTATAATTGGAATAATTAAAAACAATGAGTCTTTCTACCTCCGCCCTTTGTTTTTTTTTGTTCTTGTCTGTGTCCCAGCTCTTTGGATGTGGTTCAGTGGCCCAGACGGTGCTGAGTAAAGGGGGTCTTGGGGAACCTTTGACTATCCACATAGGTTTCACTCTGGGAGTCATGATGGCCGTCTACATGGCAGGGGGAGTGTCAGGTAAAAAGAAGCAAACTCTTTTTCTCAATTCCTGCACATCTCACATTCATCACATCACTTAATCTCCAATTTCTCAAACATTACAACTGAAGATTATTTTCAGTTTCAAGTGTTCTCATAACATCAGTGTCCTGAAGCCTAAAATAATGACCCACCAACAACCAAAAAATATCCAGCTAATGCTTCAATCGTTCGCACTCTTGCCGAGATATATCCAACCAAAGACAATCACTTGTTGTCTGTTCCAGCTCTTTATGCAAAAATGTTGACATTTAAAAAAAAAAACAAGATGCTCTATCGGTCATTCAATCTTTTTCTCAGTGCCATGGGGGTAGTCAGCGAAAAAAAAACACATAATATTATTTTGATATTTAAGACTGCAAACACAGTCATGAAACAAAGGTCACTGCTCTGTTTGTCTCTAGTGGAGATGTGATCTTTGGTCGTGGATCTCTGAAACAACAAGCCTCTCATCCAGGTTTCTCTGTGTCACTTTTATCTAAATGTTCGAAGTATCAACGAAAAAAAAAATCTTCAATAACAGATCTGATACAATAAGATTATTGCTCTAGAAAAATAAATATAGTCCATTCAGGAGATACTGAGTCCTGATGTGTTATTGGAACTTTTTGGGACATAGCCTACCTTAAGGATGACAGTAAAAAGAGCCTGTCTGAATTGGCAGCAGTAACAGGTAACAGGAGGTAACAGTTGTTCAATGTCACAGTGTTCCTAATGGGCTAATTTAGAAGAAATGATAAGTTGTATGTTGGTTTGTGTTCAGGACAGAAGAGAGTTAGCTTAACTTGGTATAAAGCATAAAAAGGTAAAAGTTGCTACAACTAAACAGCTACGACCAATACTATAAAATCAAATTTGTTAGCTTTAGAGTCACTTGTAGGCAGATGCTGGTGCAGCAAGCTAACCAGCTGATTGCCTCAGGTCAATATTTCTTATACAGACATGAGATTGTTAACAACATTCTCATATAACTCTACGAAGGCCATGAAATACAGTTTCGGCAGATGGCTGTTTAACATGAGTCTGGTTCTTCTCGAGGTTTCTGCCTCTTAAAAAGGACGTTTTTCTTTGCCACTGGGACATTGCTGAATGTTGCTTAGTGCTGTGCTCATGGTGGATTAATGTTTGGTCTTTGTAAATAGTTCAACAAAGAGTAAGGTCTAGACCTGCTCTTTTGTAAAGTGTCTTGAGATAATATTTGTTATGAATTTGCGCTGTGCAGATGAAGATTGATTGATATTCTACACTAACCATTCTCAAGAAGTGTTATATGTGTTAGTCCACCAGTGATTTGGGGAAATAATATATTTTGTGAACTTGAAAACCATTAAAATTATTCATTCAGAAATGTAAGTGCGACGAAGAATGGAAAAGGATTTTTATCTTTCTCTCTTGTTTACTGTTGGCTGTTGTGATGGCTCTGACTCATGCTAACGGGGTTAGCCTGCTCCTGCTACATGTTTAATGATAAGAGTTGTAAAGCTTCAGAGGAATAGCAGAAAAGCCTGAGGACAGTGAGGTTAATATATGGAGAGCTTTTGCTGCATGACTGGGCAATTCAGCCGCAGGGTCCACAGCTCAGTGGGAAGCTTCTGTCCGACGACATCTCTGAAGATGATCATAGGTATTGGACTAATGAGCTTTACTGGGGCAGGGGTCTCTGGAGAGGAAGGGGGTCAGGTGTGACAAGCCTGGCTTTCTAGGCTTCCCTGGCAGGGAGGCCCCATAGGAGAAGAAAACACAATTGTTTTCACTTTGTAGTCCCAGATTTTAGATGACAGTGTACCGTAAGTGTGACACATCATGGTCACTCTAATGACCTGCAGTCTACGTGTGCCTTAAGCAGATTCAGGCAGATTATGTCAGATGCAATTCAGACAGGCAGGTCTGGCTGGTTGTCGTGGTCAGTGTTTGTGAACAGGACGGGGAGATTAACAATGGGCGCATGGCTGATACCCCCAATGGTGTTACCACAGCGAGGTCAAAGCCAAGATCCCAGAGTGTTAAATAAATGACCCCACACTGCCATCACAGCCCACTAACATTTGGCTGGAATGTGTTCAAACAAGCCTCTTAAGGACAATGTGAAATATGGGAAAACAGACTCTGGAGGCAAAAACAGACCCTCTCGCCTGCTCTTTGTTTGAAAATATCCTGAAAGTCTTCGATGAAGAAGCACCAGAGGGTTTGAACATTAGCACTAAATGATCAGACAGCCTGTCACCGACTATTTTAATCCACTTAACTCAGTTCACCTGATCTGGTAAGACAAGGCACAAGATACGCACCAAACTTTCAAGCAGCCGAGAGCATTGTGGGCGATGTTTTTGTTGTTTTCATCTTGACTTTTCTGATAGTGTTATGCTAGTCTGATTTTCATCAAAAAGTAACAACCATTCACTAGTTTTAGGCCACTGCTTTATGAGAAGTGGGTGTAACATTTTATAGACCAAACAATGAAGTATGACCATAAATATTATTTAAAAAACGCTAACCAGTTCCTAACCGCTAAACGCTTCTCCAGGTCATTTAAAACAATGCACTATTTATTTTATTTAAGTTGAACTTTTTGCGTTTGTTGATTTGTTGTGTCTACTCTTTTGTTGCGTTGTTCCAGGAGCTCACGTGAACCCTGCCGTCTCTCTGGCCATGGTGATCCTGGGGAAGTTGCCTCTGAAGAAGTTCCCTGTGTACGTGGTGGCGCAGTTCCTGGGGGCTTTTGCTGGATCCTGTGCCGTCTATGGGTTGTATTATGGTGGGTGTAAATGCATAAAGCCATCATTAAGAGAAAACTGTCCCCAAGATGTAAATGTTGATTGAGGTGTGGAAATGGGGACATTGGTCAATCTGCTTCAGGAGATCCACCAATGATAATAAAAAAAAGCAAAGACTTTTCAGTCAGATACTGTTTCAAGTGATATTACTTGAAAACAAAAGGCAAAGACTTTACAAGCTTGTAAGTAATACTTGCATTTACATTTGCTTATATTAACTGTATTTACTTTTTCCACAGATGCTTTGATGGAATTTACCAATGGACAATTCCTTGTTACTGGTGCAAATGCTACAGCCAACATATTTGCATCCTATCCTGCAAAACACCTCTCAGTCCTAAATGGGTTTGTTGATCAGGTGAGACAAAGGTTATAATCATTAACAAAAACTAAAATGTAACAAGTGGCAGGTCTATAGGCCCATAAGGCCAACCGATGGAGGTTGTGGTTGTTCATCTTTTGCATTTGAATATATTTTCTTATTATTGTATGATGTTTGGGCTACTTGTTTGGCCCTTTACCCCTTAACAAGTATCCCATATTACAAATAAAGACTCACACTAAAACTAATAAAAACAAAACTAAAACGAAGCGTTTTCACAAAATAAGAACTAAACTAACAAACCAGCTTTTACAAATAATAAAAACTCAATTGCAATTGAAAACAAAAAGCCAGAATGAATCAAAAATAATAAAAAATCCCCATTATTATAACCTCGATCCTTACAATATCCATACTGATGATAAAAATGTATACTTTATACAAACTGCCTGATGACTCTAAGCATCCAATGGTCTTAAATCTCTAACTAGCTTTGTTTTTTTCACCCCTTTCTTTACATGGAATTATTGATGGGAGTGAGATGGCAAACCTTTTCAAGTGAGATACTGTGTGTGTGGAAGCTACTAGAGCATACAGAGATATATGTGAGCATGCATTTAGTGCAGTCATGGGCATGAATGGAAGTATAAAAGGTCATGCGAGTTATTTTCTGGAGTATGAAAAAATAACGTTGCAACGCTGAGAATAACTTCCATCTGTTCAGAACGGGGCCAGATGAACGTGTTAGTTTATGTATCTGTGAAGCCCACTGGGGCATTAGGTTTCATTAGTTTTTATTTTTTCTAACGCCAATGTAAACAGATACATCTGATGTCAACAAAGCATTGAAAACATCATTAATTAGATCGACTAATCGACATGAAGAGTTATAATTGATATATTGAATTTAATTAAGAATGTGTTGGAGTGATGTCTTTGATGGGGATTTACATAAGGATCACAGACTGTATGTTTAAATGACCTCAAATAAAGAATATGTTGAGTTACATAATTATTAACATTTTTATATTTAGGGGTACCTGACTTAACCGTTTTATTTCTGAAATATTGTACTTTTATATTCTCACTCTGCATGGTTATTCATTAACAGCCATATGGGTCTTTATTGTTCAGCTGCCCTCTAAGAGTCAAAGGGGGGGAAAGGGGAAGCCCCATAATAAGCTTAGACAAAATAACATAGGGCAGAGTTCACCACAGCGGATATGGTAATACTGAACATCCACTCAAAGACAGCAACAACAAACAAACAAACAAAGTTATAATGACTGAGGTTGTGCTAATTACCTGATGCTTTTGTTGTAAAGGTAATTGCAACAGGCGCGTTGATCCTGTGCATCCTGGCCATCACTGACAGGAGGAACATCGGGGCTCCAAAAGGTGTAGAGCCGCTTTGCATTGGCCTGATCATCATGGCCATCGGAGTGTCCATGGGTCTGAACTGCGGTTATCCCATCAACCCAGCACGGGACCTCGGCCCACGCTTCTTCACCGCTGTGGCGGGATGGGGCATGGAAGTTTTCAGGTAAGAAATCAGAAAACAATTCCTGTATCACATGTAAAAAAAAAAAAAAAACAGTATTTGAAAAATGCAAATGTAAAAAAAATAGTGTTTGACAGTGTCATATGTTGTATATCCATGGCCGTGTTGGGACTATTATATTTGATTGAACCTATTAATGAGACAGGAGTCCTTTATTTACTGCTGCTCTTACTCTTATAGCACGACCGAGTAGAAGTGTGATTTAAGAGACTTTAACCAAGTGGCTGCTTTATCCTGCTTTAGTCACACATGAAGAGCAGCATTTGTAGATCTGCTCTCTTGACAATCTGAATCAATATTGCAAAAGCCATGCATGTGTTTCCTGCATTTTTAAAAAGGGCTGTAGGATCTCATTTAAAGAGAGCAGGGAGTTTCCATGCACAAAACATGTCAAATATTCATTAGTTCATTATTGAAATGTTATAAATGTAATTTCCTCTCTCTCTTTTCTTCCTTGTTACCATGGCTACTCCTGGTGCTCTTTTTATTATTAATATATTTTACTTGATACTATATACTAAACTTGATATTGATCTTGAAAAATATGTTTTTACCTCTTGGGGGCAGCAGATACAGACACAGCTTTCATGTATCACTTTTGTAAGATGTGTCAAATAAAAGCTGTTAAAAATAGGTTGGCCAAACAGTCAGGAACACTGAATCAATTATCAATCATTTTAAATTGTTTCTGACAAAGTTATGAATGATAAAAAACAATGACTCTGATTTGATATTTACAAACTACATTAGAAAATATCTTGCAGTGCTGCACTACAGTCACCAGCTGGTTGCTGACTGTGTCTGTCTGCTGTTTTGGGCTACAGTACATAGGTAGAGTTCAGTGGGGTTTTTTCCCACTGAAAACAGATGCTTGATACTAATTAAAATGACCTCATTGGACAAACAAAACAGTAAAGTTTTCGACAAGACAGCTGAACAATGAGCTGAAAACTCACTATAATGGTCTGTGAAGCTCAGGGCAGCTGCATATAAACAGGATGATTGTAGTCGAATGTTGAAATCTTGCGGGTGTTTCATATTTTTGGTCTCTAACCCTTTGTTTCAGAAAAATAATGTTTCCTGAAACTTTGAACGCTTTACCTACTGAATGAGCCAAATTCATTTAAGTATACCTTTAATTATTCCTGTTATTTCAAACGTGTTAACACGATCAGATTTCATTAAAAGACAACAACAAATTATTGATTAGTTCAGACACTCCAAATTGCAACTGAATGTACCAATCAGAAACGGTTACATCACACTGCAGAGGCCCATCTTGAAGTCACACAGTTTTACATTTGATATACTGTCTGCACGTTGCAAACAGGAGGTGGGCAAGGTGCACCTCTGCCTCCCTTTCACTTTGGACTTTGTCAAGAAGGCAAACAAAGCTGTCACATGTATATAAACTAAACATGTATATAAATGGTTCACAACAGCAGACCTATGTTTACTGTACTTACAGGATAAAGGAGAGCACATTTCAAGTATTTGCAAACACACAGAGTCTGGTTAAACAACCTTTTAGGACCTATTGATGTTCTGTGCAGGGCTTCAATATTGGCCCAGTGTTGTTTTATGAAGTCAAGTAACCAAAGTCGGGCTTTCGCAGTAGTACAACCCCAGAAATGATCGTTTTCATAGTTTAACAGTCACTAATAGACACCTTTTTCCTTTTCTTCTACCATCTAGTTTCCATCAGTAGGTAATGTTAGGATCATTTACTGCAAATGTTATCTTTTAAAATTGCAATTCCAAATGTTTAAGCACGATTCTTGTATTTCTTTGACCTGGGGCAGATTCATGCTGTATGCATCAAGGTGCTGTTCAGCCCTTCAGCCTTTTCTTTTCAACCTCTAAATTCAAAAGTGTCTGTTCATGCTGCTGAAATGCATTAATGGAGAATATGAGACTTTCAAACAAGGCACAATATACTGCTTGGATAATAACATTTTGCTTAATAGCACTATTAATAATTCTTGATCTACCTCATAAAATAACACTATATTAAGTGGTTGAAGGTGGTCTGTCTCCATTACGCAGCTATAAACAAGTCCAGATGGCTCGCTTGGCGTATATATATATAAACACACATATTGCTTTAATGCACATATAAGCCCTTGGTCATATCAGGTTTATAACATGTAAAAAATACCAGCTTAATCTGATATAATCTTTTACATTTCTGATTCAAATACAGCAGCTATGAATGCTGTGTATTAAAATACACTCGAGGCAGGCTTAAGATTTCTGTACATTACATCCCGTTTCCATATGGACTATGGAGAGTAGTACTTGGCTCCATTAAATGTCCACATGGCTTCAATTTGACCAACTGAGTGTCTCTCATCCTGGCCCGATCATTTTAGCTGTGGCAAAAGATTAAAGTCTATAATCCAGCCATATCCTTCCTTTAGTCTTCTTCCTGTACCCACAAGAGAGAAAGATGACCTTCTCGGATGCTTGTTTACATTCAGCCCTGTTAACTGGAGCCCTTTCACCTGCAGTAAAAACTCCTTACAGGTGAATTGACCAGCAGGACTCTAATCTCTGTCTGGCTCTGTCTGGGGTTAGAATGAGGACACATGCACCAGGTCTAGCAAACAGAGCTCCTCAAGACTTTGCAGTAATCTGGGATAAGTGAATATAACTTGCCTCAGGTAGGATGATATAACCGTAAACATACAGATTGGTAGGGGGTGTTCTTTATTCCATTTCAAAGAAAACTACAACAAATTTATAACGTACTTCTATAAAGCTGGCAGACTAACAAGAGTCCAAAGGAACAAACAAGGTTCGAAAGTGATGAATTAGAGTGATTTAGAGTTTTTGATTCATAAATATGGACAAAGTGTTGTGTTGCATAGTATCAAATTGTAATGAATGTACTGCATTATATTTCATGGCATTGAAGTCCACCATAGCGTATCTTAAAATAACATATCCCATGCCCATTGCATTGCACAATATTGTTTTCTATGGTACAGTATAGTATGGCATAGTATTTAATCATATGATATAGTTTCCTCATACATATTTTAATGTCTCATATCATATCCCATCTTACCCCTATTCTAACTATCTGCATTACAACGCACTGTTTCATATTATATGGTATCATATTGTACGGTTCTGTATGGTATCAACATGTAAAATTGTATTGCACTGCATCATATCGCATCCTATTGTATTATATTGCAACATATTGTGTTGTTTATAAATACAGTATATTTAAAGCATCATATCATATGGTATGGTAGTGCAATTATCTTGAGTTGTCTGATGAAGTGAATGTTCACAAGTTGCTCATGTTAGTGTCGTGCAAATGTTATTTATTTATTTATTCTTGCCCGCAGAGTCTTTCCAGTATTTTTTACAGTGGAGGGTCAGTCTCAGACAGGAACTTACTTTTAGTGGATTAAAGGTCACATGTTATCCACCTTATCAACCAGTGAAAACAAGTTTTAGAGCTCCCAAAACATGTCTGTGAAGATTCTTGCTAAAAACCCACCCTGATCCTGTATTTCATCATGCGTATAAACCCCTCTATTTCAGCCCTGCTCAGAACAGGCTGTTTCTGTGTCTGTAGCTTTAAATGCAAATGAGCTGTTTGACCACGCCCCTCTGGAAGGGCTTGGGTGGATCAAGGGCCTTTCAGATAAGACGTGTCGCACGCTTAGCTTGCTGCGAAGTAGGGCGCAGAGCAAAAGGGGAGAGCGCACTCGAGCAAAAAGCAACAGCGCGCGTTGCTAGGTAGTCGAGAAAACAGCTCAGGAAAGTAGCTTCTGCCACAGCACTATGTAGTCCTACGTGTCCACTATTTAGAAAAATGCCCAGACTTTTCTTCTGCAACGGAGAGGGAGACGAGCAGCAACGAAAAAGATGGTGTGTGTTCATGAAATTTTGCGTAGTATGTGACTTTTAATAAAGTAGTTTCTAAATAGTCACATTGTATCCTATCGTATTGAGTAGCACAGGTCATTTCGTATTGTATGACATTGCTTCTCACAGAATCCTATCATTTCATATTGCATTGTATGGTTTCTATTTGTTTTCTTTTTGTCTTAATTTGCATTCGTACAAGATGTTGTGTAAATAATTCTGAATACATTCACATGTAGTCTGTCATAATAACACATGTTCGGATCCTCATCCCTGCAGTGCTGGAGGTTGCTGGTGGTGGATCCCTGTGGCAGGACCAATGGTGGGCGGAGCAGTCGGAGCAGGAATCTACTTTCTCTTCATAGAGTTGCACCATGCTGAGCCTGAGAAACAAGAGGAAAACAATGTCCAGGACAAGTATGAAATGATAACTGTAAGTTAAATTTCAGAATCAAGATAGCGGAATAAAGTTACAATACTGTTGAGATTCACCTCAAAAGGCAAAAATTTCCATCCAGACGAAGCATTTTTATACATTTCTACAATAATTCTGAAAAAATTACATGTCATGGTTTAAAAGAAAGCATGTATCTGATTACAAATATGCATGAATGTTTTATGAAGCCTTTAATGTTTCTTTAATTAGAATATCTTGTTTTTTTTTTATTTTCCAGTTGTATCTAGTCAAATCTTTGTATGGAGAGTCTCCTCTGTATTACAGCTGTGCAGTATTCTGTATAGTTTAATGTTTCTAATCAGGATCATCTCCTCTCATTCGAAATATTTGCCAAGTGTCTCTACAGTATGTTTATTTTGAATGCTGTCTAACAAATGGGAGCACATAGCACTTAGAGACCACAGCAGAGGTGGGGTCATTTTTGATTGTTTTTAGCCGTTGTGTTACAGTCAGGACGTTTATGTTGAAAGACTTTCTCCTTCCATTCCCGTCATCCTTTGCATGTGTTTAAAAACAGTTATGTGTTTCATTGCTACATGACAGTATTTTGTTTTAGCTTTTAGTACACATTTATTTAGAACTTCCAGCCTTAACATGATTAGACTAGTGTTACTGATTTTTTTCTCCATAGTTTTTTGACACACAAACCTTAATCCTAACCGTGAGAGATTCAATTGTACTGCATGCATTGACATGGTAAAACAACACACACGTTGCACAATACACAATAAATCATGACAATCACTTTGTCTTTTTTCATCTCTTGATGAGATTTTGTGAAACAGGAAAGTTAAGAAAGTCAGAAGCACAACATCAGAGAGGGAATTTGTTGTAATTTCCCAGAATTAAACATAATTTGGTTCATATTTTGATACATTTCTTGCCCTGCTCTACACGTCTTTGATGCTTTAGCTTATGTTGTGATTCAATTTCTTAATTTGTTCTTTTTGTTGTTGATTATTTTCAGTTGTTTTTTCTAAGGTAGATAATGAATGTTATTTTTGTCAGTATTATTTGTCTGAATAAGCTATTCTTCTTTTACACTCCTCGTTGTATCCTGATATGAAGTCAAGTTTAATGATACTATTTCTTTCTTCACACTAGGATCAGTGGTGTAAGCAGAGTATTTTGTGATACACAAATGTAACTTTATGCAATGACGATGCTAACCCCAAAAGATACCTGATGTTTTCAGAGATAAATTGAAAAATAAATCATAACAGCACTGCGACAATCATTCAGTGATTTATTCCCCTATTAAAAACATTTCTTTATTTCTTTTCAAAGATGACATTTTTACTTGTAATAGTAAGAACAGCACAAACATCTGCTTCAGCTACTGAGGTTTCCAGCGCCTGTTGTTATTCAGTCTACATCATTGTCACACTGTCATGCTGGTGCACTTCCATAGCAGAGCCATCTTTAATTATTAGTTAATAGTAACACCTCTGCTTTTCCAACCATGAACAAATCTGCTTTAAAATACAAATGAAACACAGTGATTTAAGAATTTGCTGTTTAAAATGACAGTTAGGCCTACTTATTGAAATTAGTTTAAAAACATTTAATCTAACAAAGTAATGAAAAAACAGCCAAAAGTGATTTGAGAAATTGCATGCCTATGTAATTTAAATTGGCCAAAAAAATACTGGCAATTTAGTCCTAATTGCCAAAAAGCTAAACCTTCCTCACAACAAGCATATTCAAGAGTTATTCAAGAGTAGACACCCCCCCCACACACACACACACACACACACACACACACACACACACACACACACACACACACACACAATAGTCCACATAAGTAGGACTTCCACAGAAATTAATTTCAGTTTAAAAGAAGAAAACTGGAAACGCTTATATAAGCTCATGCAGAATGGATGAAGAGTGTTCTTTTTTGCTTCAGTGGTTTCATAGCTCTTCCTCAGAGTGCTTCCTCCCTATGACATGGATGATAATAGCTTTATGTAATAATGGATCACACTTGTTTCTGTGCATGAGCCTTTTGCTCACATGAAAGTGTTCCCTTCAGTTCTTTCTCCTCAATCCCAAGAGGGAACCTGTGTATTTGTATCCTCATGGCAGCCTCAATTCATGACTTTCCCCAGTTGATTTATTTAAAAAATATTTAGCATCTGAACTGGACATCCTGATAAGTATATTTTGTTCATGAAGTCATTTGCTGCTGAAAGAGCATGCCCAGACACAGAGGCAAATATATACATCGCATACAAAAGCAAACATATCTCGACACGATACCTGGAAACGCAACGGTTCACCATGTTTGCTCTTCTGTGAACCTGCAGTTGTAACATCACACATCAGTCAGACAAACTGACCTTAACCCTTTTGCTGCCGGACTGAAACGAGGCATAGAGATCACATGAAGTAAATGTCATCATGTTCTCTTAAAGTAAATGGGACACAAATAGGACACTGTGTATGTGTGTTTATATCCTGGTGAACTCAGAATTGTCTCTTGAGACTTGATATGTTTCTTTCAGAACATCTGTGTTAGTCACGTTCCAAAAAAATCAACTGATGTGGGTTTTGAAAAAACTTTGAAGTTTGAGCCTTGGCCTACGAAAGTAAATATCAATATATGAAATGTATTTAGAGTCACTGTTGTCCTAGAGTTTGAAAATAAACAGTGTGGAGAGTGAGTATACAGACTTGGATCAGTAAGTGAAGGTCTCTGTAACCGTTATGTACCCACTAACCTTGTTTGTGTACTGTGCTTTATCACCATTCACCTCGGACAGAGTGACACTTTCAAAAGGGTCCAGTGAAAAGTAGATAGCTCATCAATGTAATGCATAGAAATGAGGATTTGGAAGATTTGATAAGAATCTCCTGAAGCAGCATGCTGAATTTTTACTCATTGTTTAGTTACTTATTTAGTTTGATTCAGTGTACTCTAAATTGTGTCACTCTCTGCTCATGTAGTGCTACTTTGCTCTTCTACTGTTCAAAGAGGATTTAGCTTTTCGGGATTTTTCCACAGACTACATTTTGGTTTGTCTCTGTTAGTTCAGGTAAAAACTGCCTCCAAGAGATTCCTTGCGGTGACAGAAGAGAAATGAGGATGAAGTCAGAAAGTCTGGATGAAGTAATCTCTACCTCTTAGTCATTATTTGTATATGAGTCAGCTCGCCTCTTAGACCTCTGCTCTTTCACAATATGTTCGATCTCCACAGCTCAGCCAATCAGGACAGGACCAAATCCCTCTTATCCATAAACCACCACTCCCAGTGTCCCTTCTCTTATGGACAGTACAATAAACTGTTTCCCACTCTGATTTCAAGCAACAGAACAACAATTAGGCTTTTATAAAAACCTGTTCCACAGCCACAGACAATCAGGAACTCATCTTTAGACTCAACATCATCCGTATTTCTCTTCCATAAGTTTCAGTCTGCTCTCAACAAAAGTGTTGGTTCTCAGGAATTACTTAAAGTGTCAGTGCCTTATCATGTCTGTGCTCAAAATCCTGTGCTGTTTGCTGTTAACCTCTCACCTAAATGTGGGGAAGAATATCAAAGGACACAGAGCAGGTGAGTGAAATACTATGTTTGAATGATCCCCCTAAAAGTCATTTGTTGTTTGAGTTTATCTGTCTTTGTAAATTGAAAAACAACCTGCTACAAAAGTGAAGATATGAGACACTCTTGAAATAATTGCATACATCCCAGTCAGCCAAGTCTTACTGTGAGTTAATCTGTAAGAAGCAATAAATTATGTATTCAACATCATGCTCCTGTTGAAAGTTTTCAAAAGAGGGCAAAAATGCTGTTAACATTAGAATGGCCTGAAGCTAAGTTTGTCCATCTAAATGACTAAAGAAGTTTATTTGAATTTTTGTTTGACTATGAATGAATTTCCTTTTTTAAAATCACATTTTCATTTATTCTAACTTGCTGAGCCAAGTTTTTGGTTTTAGACAAAGGCTTTTTTTTTCTCTTTTTTTTTAGGAAAGATGTCAGTTCTCCTGTAAAATCTTGTTTTTAAAAAGTATTAGCATTATTGCAAAAAAACTCAATGTACATTTCATACAATTCAATAAATAATTCAACGTTTTGATGGGACCTTTAGAACTGAGTGCTTAAGTGCCTGAGTTTATTCATTATTAACATTATAGTGTTGTAATATTAAGCATTGACATGAAGCAATAACTAATATAAGGAAATGTAATGATGAAATCTTTGGAAGAGGATTAATGCAGTTTGTAAATTTGTTATTTGAGGTTTCTGGGCAGTGGTTTGAACATGAGTTCAGTGAGGAGGAGTTTATATAAGAAATTACAAGCAGCGTCTGGCAGAGATGGGACTTTTTGTGAAGTGTTATCTGTGAGCATCTGCCAAACATGTTGCTATGACCTGGAAAAAAAACAGCAAAGTGCTTCAAACATAGTGTTAGTCAGCCCACAGTCCAAATGGGCCTCAAGAGAAGGGTCTCTTTCTCCCTTATTATTCCAAGATTTTAATACATTTTCACGAGTTAGTTGTAATTATTAAACTCAAAGTAAACATACCCAGCTTTGCAGGATGTTCTGTTTCCCACAGTAATCATGAAGAACAAACAGTAAACTCCTCTGCTGTTTGATTTCTGATGCACAGCGGCCACAGAGCAGAGGGGAGCTCTGAGGATGAACGAGCTGCATGTCAGCAGTTCAGTCTTCAGTCTGTTTTTAGAAGGTGAAGACACCTGCAAACTGGACCCTCTGCAGCTGCACACACTCACCTCCTGTGGCTTCAACAGCAGTAATCCCCTCATCATCATCACTCACGGGTGGTCGGTAAGGTCAACTTCTCTTCCACTTCACTGAGTCGAACCAATGGATACAAAACATGGAACTGGGACCAGTGTGGGGGGACTCCTGCAGGATCATTCCAGATGTTAATGTCGCATACATTTCATATTCAAAACCCTGATAAAAACTGAAACAATTCACAACATGAAAGAAACAAGCTTAGACTGAAAAGCAATAGAGAGCCATTTAAACTCTGAGATCCATCAAGTTGCATATCAATATTTTTACTGTCTTTATCATAACTGGATCATTCTTGTAATTTCTAAACTAAGCGACACAAGTTTTAGACCATCATAAGAGTTACACTATTCATAACAGCAGGCAAACACATGCCAAAAGTAACACTTCTTTCCCCCCCCCCCCAAGTTGGACGGTATGATGGAGAGCTGGGTTCACAGGTTAGCCACCACTCTAAAGACACATCTAATAGACGTCAATGTGCTGATTACTGACTGGCTGACCCTCGCACACCAGCACTACCCCACAGCTGCACAGAGCACCCGCACCGTAGGAAGAGACATCGCTCACCTGCTGCACTCTCTTCAGGTCAGGGGAAGTCTATCGGCTGAAGGCTATTTTAAAATGAAAGTAGAAATCTGTAAAGTTGTTACATTTATACTAAGGTGGCAACATACATTTGCCAGTTTTAAGTTGACAAAGCTCCTCTTTAAGTATGTCATAAATCCCAACAGGTAAACTTTCAGTACCCTGTTAGAAAGGTTCATTTGATTGGCTACAGCCTGGGCGCTCACATCTCTGGATTTGCTGGAAGCTATCTTGAAGGTTCACAGAAGATCGGACGAATTACTGGTGAGTTTAAAAAAAAAATTATATTAGGGAAATCATTGTTCTTTAAATAAAAAAAACAGCATTTGGAAAAGGACATAATTGAAGAGTGAACTTGTTTGTTCTGTGCTTTGTAACAAACCCGTTCTTGACTGCACATTGTCTGTCCAGGTCTGGATCCAGCGGGGCCTCTGTTTGAAGGCATGTCTCCCACAGATAGACTGTCTCCGGACGATGCAGAGTTTGTGGACGCAATCCACACCTTCACCCACGAGCGCATGGGCCTCAGTGTAGGCATCAAGCAGGCTGTGGCTCATTATGATTTTTACCCCAATGGAGGAAACTTCCAACCGGGATGTGACCTGCAAGACATTTACGAGCACATAAGCACCTACGGCCTCCTCGGTGGGACAAAGAACACACCACATCCTAGAACATAATAACAAACTGTTTATACACGTGCTAAAATGTGGTTGTCTAGGAAGCATAACGTCTTAAATGCCACAAGTGTCCCCTGTAGAAACTGCAGTGTTAATTACACACAACAATACCAAAGTGTTGGATATAAAAAAGAACATCCTGGACCTCATTATCAGTCATGGGTCATAAAAGAAAGGTTTGTTTAAACAAGGGCCATCCACTGGTGACTGCAAATGAGCTGTATTACGCTCATTGCTTTTTTGATATTTCTTCGATACCAACCACAAGACTTTGCTGACGCGATAAAAATTTAAGACTATCCAGGAAAAAAAAAACATTCTTTAAATATTTTTACTTCATAGCTGACAGTTAGTTTTGAGGATGGGGACAGTAGTGAGCTCTCAAATCTTCCAGGAGTAAAAAACAGTCCATCCTCAAGGGAAATGGTTGATTATAATCATGAGTTAATTAAATGAAATTCCATCAAGTTATTTTCTGTGTAGACTTAAGAATTTGAGGCGAGGTGGTGTTACAAAGATCTGTTGGGAGCAAAAAATACATAATTCAATCACAGAGAAGCGTGAATGTTCTCAAACATTTTTCTGCAGTCTGGCCAAAGGATGTCAAGATTAATGTTTCTATTTGTCATACACTGTTGCTCTTCTAGCATCAAAAAAAGGCACATCATGAACACGAGTGAATCATTTAAAGACGAGGTTTTCTTGAGAGATGTGTGCCAGTTTCATTTTCATCATGAAACCAAAAACAAATACATACATACACTTCACATACCTACAATTTTTCTGAAAAAAAGTCAACAATCCACACTGAAGATTACCTAACTTAAATCTTAGAGATATTCAAGTCCATGTGATGCTCATAATGTCTAGTCATTTCTTTTTGAGAGTCATGTGAACTTTGTATTAGTCCATCTACAACCGTGCATGAACAGCTTTCTCCATTCAGCGTTAGGTATCCCTGAGTGCCATAGACAGCCCTTAATCGGATGAGAAAAGGCACACTGTTCAGAGCAGTGTGCTCCCGTCCTGTGCTGTATTCATTTGTTTTTGCTTCCTAAAAACATAGGTTAAAAAATAATATCCTTGGCACTAATTCATTTTGCTTGTTGACGATTTCTCGCTCTGCACTGAAGCAGATGCATTTAATTTCCTCCAGGCTAACACAACGGGCTCACAAGTGGATTAATAGTGCTTCTCAACCCAATACATTAACATAATATGACAGAGAAGACCACACTAAAGCATCTGTCATCCTCAGGAGGTAATTAGCAACATGTGTTGCTGGTCCCTCTAAGCTGAGCTGCCTTCAGGCTACAAGAGTCTGCCCAGAGAAAAAGGCTTTCAGGGCTGACTGATATCTGACATAATGAGATGTTTAAAGGAGATGTCACAGAGGGATGGTCTGATAGATGTCAGGCTTTAGCAATAATGAACTCAATCCACAAATAATAATCTGACATTCTGATTAAGATACTCAACAGAGTCTCAATCCACAGGAAAATACGTGTGTGGAAATTACACAGTTGAAAATAGGAGGGGGGAAAAAAATCAATATCTGACCAAATTCCTTGTTCATTTCTTGTTCACAGGGTTTGAGCAGACGGTGAAATGTGCTCATGAGCGCTCTGTCCATCTCTTCATCGACTCACTGTTGAATAAAGACAAGCAGAGCATGGCCTACAGGTGCAGTGACCAAAGTGCTTTTAACAAAGGTATCTGTCTGGATTGTCGAAAGAATCGCTGCAACACACTGGGCTACAATATTAAGAAGGTTCGCAGCAGCACCAGCAAGAGGCTCTACCTAAAAACAGGCCCCCGGATGCCTTACAAACGTATGTGCTAATCCCTTTTATTCTGACTAAACTGCTATTAGATGCAATTTTTATGTCTTAAGTCATTACCGTCTCTTTGTAAACCACCATAGCTACACACATATTTCTTGAGTAATCAATATTTCTTAATCCAAATAGTGTGATTTTGATTTTCTATATTTCCTCTTGTTTACCAATCCCCGGAGAAGACCAGAAGTAGCAATGATCTTAACTTGCTAAATAATAATTTTCATGTAGACAAAGCCTTTTATTACTCTGTGGCTGTGCCAGAGAGCTCAATTGTTGCCCAACACAGGGGGCGCCCCTGAGCTGTACCTTACTCAAGCACACTCAAGGACACCTTGATTGTACTCGAGAAAAAGAACTGGCCCCTCTCCATCCACCAGACCAATATCTATACTTTGGGCGCTAATAGGGACTAAAACCTGCTACCCTCAACCCAAGTCCCTACGGTCTGAGCTACTGCCTCCCCTGATAATTATCAAAAGTTTTTACGAGGGAAATTCATAACCTCTGTATATACGTATAAATGTATAGATAAAAAGCTCCACCTTTGTCAGCAGAACATTACGTGGAAAGGGACATTTTTCAGAATTTTACAAATTCTACATTGACCTACATATTTTTGAATACGTGTCTTATACAGAGTATTTTTACGCTGTGGTATTGCTGCTTTGTTCATTTAAACGATCCACTTACGTCACTGAGAAACAGTGAAAAGAGAGACTCAAAATAATGCATAGATCACATGGTTTTATAAGAAGTTATAAACTGAAATATCCAGAGAATATTGCAGTTTTATTCTACATGTAAGTAGGTTTATGAATCCAAAAATGACTCTGCATCTAGCATCTAGCTTGTATACCCAATCATCTCATTCTCAGTAATATATCTTTTTAGTTTTATCATCCTACAGTGATTCATTGATAATGGTAAGATCTGTTTTCACCTCTTCTTCTTATGTTTCTGGTCCTCTCTATGCAGTCTATCACTACCAGTTCAGGATTCAGTTTGTTAACCAGATGGTGGAGATCGAGCCCTATCTCACCATCTCCCTCTCTGGAACAAAGGAGGAGAGTGGAGACCTCCCCATCCATGTGTGAGTAAAGCATCATCTCCCCCAACAGGCATGCATTACATCACATCCATGCTCACAGTACAGTACTCGCTCTCCGGTACATGCAATATGCAGCTGGGCTTTCCACTCTGTAGAGACGAACAGCAAGTTGGGGAGAGCAGCTGACACACACATGGAAACAACTCTCCTGCTGCATGACAGATAACTATAAATGGGGTTGATGGAGTAAATAATTTAGTCAAGGCACAGTTCACTCACAAATGTGTTATCCTTTATAATCTTTGTATCAAAGAGCTACAGCATAAGAAGTCTCATGTGTTCCCCTGCTTCCTTTTTAACAGAGGGTCTTCCGTTTTAAAAAAATAATTTGCCATTTTCTTGCAAAATATAACAAACTGTCTGAAATTTTGGACGACTTTCCTTCATCTCTTTCAGCACTGAAACGATTTTAGGTAACAAGACCTTCACCTTCCTGATTACTCTGGACAAAGACTTGGGGGATCTGATGATGTTAAAGTTGCATTGGGAGGGATCAGCTCTGTGGAAGACAATGTGGAACCGGGTGCAGACCTTCATCCCCTGGGGTGGCGAGCAACACAAACCAGTGATGACTGTGGGCCATGTCAGAGTCAAAGTAGGAGAGTCGCAGAAGAGGTACAGCTCTATGTTTTAAATCAGTGTATACTCGATGACCAGTACAAAGCACCTGTATTAATACTTTTGGACAAAATAAACAATAACAGATTAATGATACTTCAAAAAACAAAATTCACATAATGAATAGTAATACTAGTTATACATAGGAATACATGAATATGCATGTTGAACACAAGCACATAAATGTTTAATAAAAGAATACATGGACCATGAACAATTGATATACAACTAATAACCACCTAAAAAGGGGAACAAGTTCAATCACTTGCATACAGTCTGTAATCGTCGTCAACATCGACTTTCCTTCTGCTCTTATCGACAATAAAGTAACTCGTTATCCGCTGGTTAGCACAAACTTATTGTACTTCCTCAAACAGATTCAAGAGGCTACTTGAAGAAACTCTTTATCTAGAAACATTTGGACTAATGCACAGTTGTTATGATTATAATTACTGTATGTATTTTTATTTTTTTTACCACAAATATACTCAGACTTGAAAGAAAACTAGCATAGCAAGTAGGAAAGGTCAAGGGTCATTTTTTTCCTTATAAAACATAAGCCTGGTTAGTCTCATCTTTACCGTCGATGATATTTTTCATGCATATTTTATAAAATATAATATTATTATGATTCATTCTTTCTGTGGGGGATGGGGGGGGATCAGGGGGCATCCTTTTAGTTGTTTTTTTGTGGAGGGGATGGGGGACTATTTTTAAAGAGATTTTGAAGTTTGCATTATATTTCAGAAGATGTTCAGACACGTATGGAACATGCAACTTCTTAATGTAATATGTTTGATAAATGGGATGGAGTTTAAACTGACTAAATTATAACACTTCTAAATATTAAAGGAAAATGAAAGTACAGTTTAAAACAAGCCATATTGTCCATATATTTGTATTGAAATATCATGACCACATAGTAAGGATTTAATTTGCATTTTTAAAGTCCTTCCTTTTATTAAAGAAACTATACTATTCCAATGTATCCCGCCTTCCAAGACTAGGTGATAAATATTTTTTTAAACAGACACATAGTAACATTTATTAAAGAAGAATGATTTTTGATTTCTGACACATACACAGAACTACATAATTTATTATCATGTATATTTTAAAATCCTTTGCACTCCTCGACACTGCGCTATATATATAGGTTTGTACATATTAGTTTATTTTTTATAGTTTAATATCTTGTGTTTAATGTGTGAACACAAGGAGTACAGTTTACTGAAGTCAAATTCCTTGTACACATATACATACCTGGCCAATTAAGCTGATTCTGATAACATCTCTCATGATCATGTTTATATTCCATCACATTGCAGGCATTTAATGCCATCTAGTGGACAGTTCCCCTCACACAGAATCAGAGTGCACTGACTGCTCTCTACTACGTATCATCATCTATACTTTTTCTGTTTTAAAAAACATTATGTCAGCAATATTCTTACTTTTTTTCCAGGACATCTTTCTGTGCCAAGACAAATGATGGACAACAAATTGAAGTTTCACAGGATAAAATATTTGTGCGCTGTGAAGGAGACACGTCAAAAAAACAGCGCAGAAGGAATCACAACTGACAGACTTGTTTGATCCATAATCCATTCAACAGACGGAAGATATCTAAACAACTGGGCAGACTTCTGTAAACTTCTGAAAACCATCAATGGTCTAAAAATTGTGATGCATAAAGCTCCCATGAGGGGTTTTAAACAGACTGGAATTAATACTCTATGACCTACTAAAGCAACAAGACCAAATGTGACACGATTGATTCTTTCTATATTTGTTTATGTCATGCCTTTAATCACTGCTGTGGTGTAGGTGTCATGTGAAGTGGTTAAATGGTGTTGCTGAAACAGCAGATTTTTTACATTTTCCAAGTCAAAAATTCTCAATGAGTGATGTATTTAACTGTCAAAAGAAAGCAGAATGAGATTGTTTTCTTTGCTGAAAAATACTTATTTTACAGGACAAAATCAGCTAAGAGACAAGAAGTACCACCGAAACAAACTGAAAGTTCCTCACAGGAGCTTTAGGAAACAGTGTGAAGTTTGAAAGAAGTTGAATCCTGGGAAGATGTGACTAGAAAAAACAAACATGTCCACCATGTTTAAATTTACAGAAACATGCCTATATCGGATTATGTGATCAATTTATGAATAACTTGAATATTTCATGTGATCCCTGTACCCTTACTAAACTGTGAGTTTGAAGAGCATGTAGAGATTTACATTTGTGTCTTAATATAAGTGTCTTTCAGCCGTATGAACAGTGTTTGCCAGTTCAAACATCAACCAGACACACAGTCAATGACCTCTCAGTGACAGGAATTCCAGAGTTTGTACATAACGTTTTTTTTCCCCTGTGAATATCCTATGTAAAATTATTGATCTCATAATTTATGAACTCACATTACTCGTCAATAAAAACATATACATGCATGAAATACACGTTAATCAAACTTCAACCAGAGCAATAAATAAACCCCTCTGTACTTTTCTACTACTGTTGTTTGTTTTGTGCTTCATGATCATGTTTAACAGACCGACTGATTCCCAGAATACACAAGCTGACACTGAAGGATTGTTATGTAGTTTTTGACATAATGTTTGAAATAATGTAGAAAAATAAAAATAAAATCTATTATTAAAAAGATTGGGAGTCAGGAGTGCAGACTTTTTAAACAGCAGGCAAGCTTCAATGCAGGTTCAATCACAGAAAGTGAAGACGGAAGTGGAAATGTTACACAGACAGTGCAAGATTCACTCGATCCTGTGGAAAAATCACAATTATAACTCCTAATTGGAAATGAAAACAATCGTTTGATCAAATCAGGTTTATTAATGCAGTTCAAGTAGTTCAAAGGAAATTCAATTTTTGTATATTACCTTTGCAAATTTAATTAAATTTCAACGTAAGCAAAATGGGAAACAACAAAAACAGGGTGAAAAACAAATAGACATTTGAAGACACTGTATAAAACATAGAACAGATTCAAATCAAGACAGTAGTAATGAATCTATACCATTTTGGATTTGCTGTTCACATCACTTATACTTCAGTGCACATTTTCTCAACATCATAGCAATTCATGAAGAAAGAATTCCCAGAGTATAATCCCCTAAAACCCAGTATAGTCCTCAGTTTACCATAACAACGAAGATGATTCAGTGAAGCATCTTTCACGCACACACATGCACACACACTCACGCATGCCATTCACACATACTTCACACGCAGAAGCTTTACAATTTGCCAAAGACAATGAAAATAACTTTAAGCTCAGACCCAATAAAAAAAGCACTGCTAGTAGCACCAAAAAAACAAACAAAATCAGTTTCTAAAGCAACAGCAAATTTGCATATTTTGTTTGTAGAGAAACAAACGACAGAAAACACATCTTCCATGTACCCATTGAAGAGAAAACATTGAAGGCATTTCTCTGTAAGAGGCTTACTTGTTCGCTGTTGAGCTCTGTGATACTCTGCATAGAATCTACCGGAGGGATAAATGAAAGCATTCAACACGCTGGATGCAAGGGTTAAGAAAAAAATATCTGTATTTTCTCCGCCAAGTCATAGCAGTCTAAAATAATCATACAGAGACTATACATATAAATATTTAATTATATTTTAAAGGCCGCACTCTCAACCATCTGTCAGTGAAGTTTTCCTTAATTTAATCTGGTTCAATACAAACAGAGACTCAATGGAAGTCAAATCAGAGCTGCTCGAGTGCTGTACAAAGTAATTATTATAGTGGGCCCTCAAAGATCTGAAAAAAGCAAATGATATTATGACATTTTGTGGTTTTATTGCCACTGCAATCTCAGCGGCCAAGGCTCTGAACAGTGCTCGGGCTAAAGTGCCACCACATGCTTGGTTTCAGGCCTACTAAAGAAGACTAACGCCGGTACACCGACTTCAGTCACACTTCTCTGAGTAGGCACATTTTAATGTCTTTACAAAAACCAAGACGGTGAACCAAGGGATACAGAGTTTCTTAAAGGAAAATCTGAAAAGTGGAAAATGAAAGGACAGAACAGCGGATGGATGGCGAACGCAAAGTGATTGTTCTCTCTGTTTGCTAACAGCAACAACAAAGCAGCAATAAAATCAGAAGCTCGAGATTTACTCAACTGATTTCTTCACATAAATAATCTGAACTACAAGTAAAATCAATAAAAGCTCAATCCAAAATCACATTACCCAGAAGGGCTCACCAGGCTACAGAGGCCCAGAGGATTTAACTGCATTTTAGTGGTTTGAACAGATTTAGTCATTTCTTAAATAACAGCCAGTGTGTGCAATTGAAAAGTGACAGAAAACAACAATTAAAAAAAAGAAGAACGTGGGCGAGACGATCACTCCAGGACACTTTCTTTCCAAAATTACTTCTCGTTTATGAAGGCTTTTTTTGTCTCAAGAGTTAAGTTTAGAAACATTCTTAACTATTTATATTCTGAATACATGTAGCACAAAGTGGTTGTTATACAAAATGTGCCACAAATAGGAGTGAAAGTGATGAATCAGGTAGAAACAGGTTTTATAAAATAAAAGATGATGTGTTACAATCAAGTACTAGAAAGCTTTTCTCTCAGCCACAGACTCTGCTTCTATGTAAACACGGCTGCAGAACCCTATCACAACAAGAAATGTTCATAACCAAAGCATTTCTCTCCCCTCCACAGGATCTGATATTGGATGACTATGTAATCTTATTCAGCGTGTTTATCTACATTCTTTTCAAACAACCTCTCCTCTACAGCCCCGCAACCTTTCTATACAGTTAGGAGGGACTTCAAAAATGCAAGCAGCCACCTTTTCACTCCATACTCTTGTCCACTGTTGTTTTTTATAAATCCTGAGAAAGTGAATTAAAAAATAATCATTGAAACAGAGAAAAAGTACTACAATATCTCTAAGATTGCACGCTGAAAGAACATGTATGCTTTGAAATAAAAAGCTTGTTATGGTATTTTGATTTGAAACATCTTATTATATTGGCAAAAATTAGATGTATTTAGAACTTAACCTCTCAAAAACAATTTGACTTGCAGTCCTGCTATTGTGCTGATGATGGCAGCACCTCAGAGAGGAAGAACAGGGGGAAAAGCAGATGGTACAGATGGAGGACAGGGGAAGGTGAATATGCTTCCCTAGCCTCCATTCTGGGGAAGAAAAAAGGATTAAAAAAGGATTAAGACGACATTTCAGAGATCAGTGAATTTCTCCTCCTGTTGCTCCTTGCAAAAGTTATTTACTATAAAAGCTGTTTGAACCACTGCTAATCTGGCTCTCAGAGCAGATGTGCTGAATGAGTTTGTTAGGCCCCAAACTTCAGGCTTAGTCCAGTGAAAAATCGATTCCAGGTGCAAGTTCTTTGTATTTTGCTAAATGTAATAAAGGTATCTCTTTGGAGTGAAGTGCTCCCGATGTAGGCACTAGGAAGAACCAAGGCAAAGAGCGGAGCAGTGTCTCAGCGTCTCATCTGTCCCATTTGATAGTTCTCTCTTGGCTGACGGAGGTGACGCTGGCCCTGTAACTGCTGGTTTGGTTGCGGCTGTCTTCTCCTTTTCAGGGTAACTGCAAGACATTCCCATCACAATGAGGCCAGAAAAGGAAAACACCCTCACACCCTCAGAAAGGTGCCAATAACAGAAGATGAGGCAAATATAGTAGCATTATGTAAAAGCTTAATCAAACACACATTTTCTGCTTAGCTTTTCCATGCGACTATAATTCATTTTCAAGTATCTCAAAACATTGTTTATCAACATGTTAAATGTCACAGAGGCTGCCCATTCCTACAACTGGATTTGAAAATCTATGTTAGTTAAAAATATACAATGCACTATACCTGGCAGTGGCTTTGGTGGAGGCAGTTTGGGGTTGCTGCTGGGGGTGTGGACACTGCAGATTTTGATGAAGCCAGCCATTAGCATAATAAGAGCGATGCCCATCAACAGCACTGCCCACCAGTGAGCCTGGACAAATTATATAACACCAAAAGGTCATCAAAATGTAAAGAAATACAGCAGAAATAGTCTCCATATGTATTTGGGTCAAATATTGTTTTTAGATGTAGAGCCAAGATACTGCACTGCCTGTGATGGGACACTCACCACTATCCACTCTGCAATATTTTCATAGAGTTCTGCATTGAAGATGGCCTTCTTCAGCCTTGCCAGGGGCCCGTCAGCATCCACCAGACGACACCTCATGAATACATCACAGTAGCCCTTAAAGTCATTGCAGGGGGAACCAGGCTGCAGCGTCGTCACCTTCTGGTTGAAGTATTTGGCCCATTTCTCTGAGCCTGAGCTGCTGCAGGTGCTGGGGTCCACTGGAGACAGAAAAATAGAGATAGTGATGATAACTCACTGCTAGCCTGGAGATCACACCAGTGCAAACAAAAAGTAGTTGCTGTCACAAATCACATTATTCTGCTGTGCTTTGTGAGTTTTTTTGCAGCCTGTCACTCACTTTTCTCCATGCAGCACACGTGGCACAGCTCAGCTGCTTCATCCACGCTGTTTTGGCTGGCACAGGTGCAAACCTCCAGGCCGTACTTTCGCAAATTGAACCAGAGCATACCTGTTAAAAGAGGCAGGTAGAAGAAACATTCAAAACATTTGAATACAAACAAAAGTTCATAAACTACAAACATCATATAACAATAGCAAGTGGTCCACTTATGACAACATACCCCATTAAGGCAGACTTGTGTCTCTGAGTGGCAGGATGTGAAGTTTTTCTTTGGTTCTGAGGATGGACACAGAGCAGTAGCTCCGTTGCACATGCCCTCTTTGGCACACTCTGACTCCAGTCTGCACTTTGCTACACTGCCCCTGAAAGTACACTCCCCTGTGCAGCATGGGCCTTGGCTGGGACTGAGGAATAAGAATTGCACACGTCATCAAAAGTAATATAAACAGCTATTTAAAAAGACATTTCTTACATAGCACTGAACAGAGGCATGCTTATCACATCTGACCTGCAGATTTTGCCAGGTTGGAGTTTGCATCTTTTCCCTCTGCTTCATTGGCATTATAGCAGCAGGGGTCTTTACATTGATCGCTGTATCCGCAGTCACATTGTTCTCCATTTTCCACCAGTCCATTTCCACAGATAGGCTGGCCAGACTCTGTTCCCAAAGACACAACAATATAAAGACAGAAACTCCCTCAAACATACAAGACCAGGGGTCTCATTTATAAAAAAGAGTGCGTAGAATCATACTAAAAATGTACGTGCGCCAAAAACCCGGAAATGGCATGCGCACAAAATGATTCAGATTTATAAAACCGTTCGTACGCACACCTGCACGCAATGTTCCCTTTATAAATCACGATCCACCTGGAAATGTGCGCACGTAGATTAGTCCCATGTTCCGCCCTCTGCACGCCCACATTCAACCATAAACAGTCAATGCAAAGCAGCTCGTGAATGAAAATACATACAAACGAGGGGGCAGATCAAAGGTTTCCAGCGCTGGATCGCGGCGAAACCCGAAGTTTAGACGAAGAAACGAAACTTTCTGACCCAGAAACGGAGGAGTTTGTGAATGAAGTGA